CGGCGCGGGCCCTTCCTCTGGGTGCGGGGTGCAGGGGGAGCTGCGGGAGGCTGGGGGCGGGAGGAAGTCCTGCTGCCCTCCAGGGCGGAACTCTGGGCATGGGGGGCGGGGAAGGAGGGAGGGCTTGGGCCCAGCTGGGTTTGCAGAGTTGGGGCTTTGAGAAGCCCGAGGCAACCCAGTTTGGGGAGTGCGGCAGGCAGGCAGCTCACCGGTCCAGCTTCCTTCCTCTTGCCCCACCTCTCCCGCTGCCGTCGCAGGCGAAGTTCTTCTGTGCAGTCCAGGGGGAGCTGAACTTCTGCAACAGCATGGGCGCCGTGGAGATGCACCAACGCCTGGAGCACCTGAAGAGGAGCATGCACCGTGTGCACCTCTACTCCCAGAGTGAGGCTCAACCTCTGTCTGCCCCGAGTAACCCAGCAAACCTGACCCAGGACCCATTGTCCCTGAAGTCTTCATTATGAAAGTGAACATAACGCAGAACTAGAGACTACAGTGAACACCAGTACCCGTCACCTAGCTTCAGCAGCTACCCATGTCTTGCCATGCTTGTTTCACTCTCTCTACCCCCCTTAAAGGGAAATCTCAGACATCACTGTATTCCTGAATACTTTTTAACGTCTCTTAATAATAATAATAATAAAGACAGCTTCTGACATAATCACAATGTCAAACCTGATACAATTAACAACAGTTCCCTAATTCACTGATACTTAGTCCATATACGATCTCCCAGAAGGTCCATAACAGTCTTTCTACACTTGCTCTGTCATTTCAGGACCCAAGAAGGCCCACGCATTGGTTTGGTTGGTAGCCCTCTTAGGTTCCTTTTCACTAGGGTGACCATAGAATTTGTGTCCACATTGGGGCACTTGTGAGGGTAAAATGAAAGGGTTCTAGTGCCATATTACTGACCACACAGGGATGGCAAATGAGGGTCCGCGGCCACTACTGCTGAAGTCCCCTTTGAGGTGGAAGGGAAGCCCTACTTCCTCCCCTCCCAGCTATGGACTTGAAGAACAGTGTTGTCCTTTGGGGTATCCCACATCATGGATTTGTATCTGTTGTCTTGGTCATCAGTGATGTTTGTCCCGCTCTGCCTGTGTTTCTTGGACAGGCACTCTACTGCCTTGGTTAGATTTGGGTTCAGTTCTTTTGGTGTGTTTGTGTTCAGCAATAGACTATGCTGGGCATCACACCGGGAGGCCCAGCTCACCCGGGTGTTTCACTCTCCGTGATGCCCAGTGTGAATGCCCCACGACACCATTTCATCTGATGGCAGGATGCCCAGCATGTGTACCTTTTACCACCGCCTCCTGAGGTAGCGTTGATGTTACTTTATCCTTGTTTTACGGAAGAGGAAACAGGTCCAGGGAGGCTAGGTCACATAGCAAGTCATGGAGTCTGGACTTGAACTCAGGTCTGGATTGTTCTGGGGTGCAGGGTCTTAACCTCCAGGACAGTGCTCCCTGGTATTAGTTATCCTCATTCTAGATGAGCTGATCTGATCGGCAGTATGAGGAGCCTGTTAACACCCACCTTGGTAGTCTTCAACTTTGAACAGTAAATATAGCAAGACTTGTTGAAGTAGGAAGACCTGACATGGAGAGAGGAGAGGAATCAGACCCCAGTGTCCTTCCCCTCAAAGATTCCCTCCCTGAGCCCCTTCTGCAAGACCTCCTCGTGGGTTTGTTTTCTCATAGAAGGGCCTTTAGCACACCCCAGGACAGCCCTGGGGCTGGGCATAATCGGTGGGCTCATTGTCCAGGGCCTGGATCCCCAAGAGTACTGGCGGATTCAAGAAGTTTCCTCTTGCCCTACCGGTTGGGGGTGGGGGAAGCAGCAGACCAAGCTGCCCAGGTCAAACCCAACCCTCCTTGGAAGTGATACCCTATCACTTCCCATGAAATCCTGCCCTTGAAGTCGGGCTGCCTGGTCGTGGATCCTGCCTGTGCCTTGTACAGTTGGAGTTTCTGGTTCCACTTGAAAATGGAGACAAAAGTACCCTTTCCACGTGAGGCAGTTGTGGTGTCAATGAGATGGTGCATTGCTATGTGGTGCCCTTTAGGGGGCCCGCCTCCCCTCTTTGTTGGAGAAGCTGAAAACACCGTGTTTGGCCCCACTCCACCGTGTTCTGGCTGAGGGATAGGCACCCACTGGCACCTTTTTGTCACAGAAGCCAGGAAGAAGAGAAGGAAGCCAAAAGTAAAGAAACTAGTACCCGTCCTCTTGCGGAACCGGTCAACCTCCCCATGCCTGCCGCCAACACTGCTGCCACCTCCACCACTGCCACCACCTGCCACCACCATGTCCTCTGTGGTGGGCCGGTCATCGTCTTCTGTCTACACTATGCCCAGGGTCTTTGGCCCCTTTCCTCCGCTGCCTAGCAAGTCGGTCAGTGGGTGTCCCCCGCCCCCCTTACAATCCTGGGAGGGGCAGCCACTCCCACAGCTCTCTTGGGCCCCAGCAGTGATTCTCAGAACATTGTTTTCAAGCAGCAGAGCCCCTTTTTTATTTTTATTTTTTTAGCAGAGCCCTTTTTAAGACTATAGGCAAAGTCTTGGGTGGAACAGCAGTGGATAAAGCAATAAAAGGGGGGCTACTCTGATTGAATAATTGGGGTAGGGGTCGAACCTACCTGCTTGGCCTCAGCTGAGCAAGGCAACCCCAAATGGCACCGGGCAGAATCCTAGGGCTGCCAGAGGACAAGTGGAGGACCACAGCACCCCTCCCACCCCCCCACCCCCTCACCCCCATCAGCCATGACTCTCTCTGAGGCTGTCATTCTCCTGTAGTGCCCTTCCTCACCTCCTACCCGTCCTGACTCCCACTTATCCTACAAACTCCCTCCAGCCAGCCCCTCCTCCCCAGGCTGGATTAGGATCTTCTCAGTTGGCTCCTTGCTCCTATTTCCTGTCTCCCTAACACCAAGCTCAAGGTGAGCACAGAGGAGGAGCCTGACATATTTGCTGATTAAAATGAAAGCCACATAGTTCTCATATAGGTAATTTTTCCCCACCCACGGTGAGGCCCTCAAACTTGTCCTGACATTACCTTTGTTTCCTGCAGACGGAGAAATTGGAAGTTTCAAGTTCTGAAGTGAAATTAAACTGGCCTGGCCTGTCATCGAACCCAAAGAGGTAAAAGGAATTTACTCTGGGCTCGAGGTAAGTGAAAGGGAGCATTTTGGGGAGCACGCTTTGTGCCAGGCTCAGCTGTTATTTCCTCCCCACCTCCTAGTTAACCCTCGCCACAGTCCTGAGTGGTTATTCTCACTGTTCAAGGAAGGAGCCTGGGCTCAGCAATCTCTGTCCCCATGTCAGAGTGGTGCCCACCCAGACTGGAGACGCCCGCCTAGGAGGATCCCAGAGCTGACAGTGTCTCTCCGCCCTGTCTTGCAGCCACATGGTTAACCTGACCCCCCTGGTCCTCAGTCCTGGAGGCTTCCATTTCTCGTACCTGCCCAGAAACGGTGTGCACAGGCTCCATTACCCTGGCTTCCCCTGGTAAGTGTGCTGCTGAGCATCCCTGGGGCCAGGCACCATGCCGGCTCAGCCTCTGCTTTGCTTCTGCCCAGCGCTGTGGTGGCGTGGCCAAGGGCTAGGCAGATGGTCTTTTTTTTAAAATATATTTTATTGATTTTTCACAGAGAGGAAGGGAGAGAGATAGAGAGTTAGAAACATCGATGAGAGAGAAACATCGATCAGCCGCCTCCTGCACATCTCCCACTGGGGATGTGCCCGCAACCCAGGTACATGCCCTCGACCGGAATCGAACCTGGGACCCCTCAGTCCGCAGGCCGATGCTCTATCCACTGAGCCAAACCGGTTTCGGCGGCAGATGGTCTTTATGATGATGCCTTCCACTTCCAGGAAGGACCCTTATGTAATCAGGAGTGCTGGAAAAGCTCCCTACTGTTTGTCATGGTGAGAAATTAGAAACAGCCCAGAGGCCAACAGAAAGGGAATGATTCCATCAACTGTGGGCAGCCCTATCTGTGGTTTATATACATGCTTGTTTTGCAAAGCAGGGATTTACTGAATATGGGGTTTTAAAAATCACCCGTGTTTTCACTGACGGATATTAGGTATTTCCTGTATCATTGAGTGTTATTCTAAAATATGATTTAGACTGGCTGTTTCATTGCATCAGCTAACTTTAAAAAATATTTCTTCGTTGATTTTAGAGAGGAAGGAAGAGGGAGAGAGAGATAGAAACATCAATGATGAGAGTGAACCATTGATTGGCTGCCTCCTGCACGCCCCCACTGGGGATCGAGCCTGCAACCCAGGCATGTGCCCTTGGCCAGAATCAAACCTGGGACCCTTCAGTCTGCAGACCGACACTCCATCCACTGAGCAAAACCGGCTAGGGCCAGATAACTTTTCGAATAGCCTTATTGATATATTATTACTTACATATTACATAACTAACTTACATTAAAGTATACAATTCAACTCTACCCGGTTTGGCTCAGTGGATAGAACATCGGCCCTTGGACTGAAGGGTCCCAGGTTTGATTCTGATCAAGAACACGTACCTGGGTGGCAGGATTCATCCCGACCCTGGTTGGGGCACATGCGGGAGGCAACCAATTGATGTGTCTCCCTCACATCCTTGTTTCTCTCTCTCTATCTTTCCCCCTCCCTTCCACACTCTCCCTAAAGATCAGTGGAAAAAATATACTTTGGCGAGGATAAAAAAACACACACACACACCTTTAATTTCATCAATAATAATAGATGCAAATACTCAATTGTATGGATGGAATATCATTTACTGAACCATTCTTAAAAAAAAGATTTTTATTGATTTTTAGAGAGAGAAGGAGGAAGAGGGAGAGAAACATCTATCTGCTACCTCCTCCACACACCTACTGGGCATAGAACCTGAAACCCAGGCATGTGCCCTGAGAGGGGAATCCAACCAGCAACCTTCCAGTACATGGGGCAGTGCCCAACCAGCTGAGCCACACTGGTCAGGGCTCAACCATTCTTGCCTGTTGAAGCATTTCACTAATGGGGACAATTTTTAGGTTCTTGTTACATTGATTTCTGAGAGCTGTGCTCTCATGATGCCACCTGCAAAAATAAGTTATTTTTAATTGGTTTAAAAAATTTTACAAAAGCAGAACACATTCCATGGGGAAAAGTTCACAATACAGAAATGCATACATAAAATATATGTCCTCTTGTTGCTAAAAGTCCTGCTGCTAAGAGTTTCATGTGTACCCCTCCAACACACACATACACACACACACTCACAGGTTAATTTTTCAACCAAAGCAGGATCACATTGTATGTTCTTCTCAGCAACTTGCTTTTTCCCATTACTGTAGCATTGGGGTGTCTTTACTTGTTGGGATATACAGACCTACCTCATTCCTTTAACGGCCCCAGAATAGTCCACTGCATGGCTGTAGCGGGTTCCCTAATGGATGTTTAGATTGTGTCCAGGTTTTCACAATCACAACATTGCTGCAGGGAGCAGCCTTGAACAAACATTTTTGGGAGAGATTTTTGGAAGTATAAATGTGTCTAGGTCAGGGGTGGGCAAACTTTTTGACTCGAGGGCCACAATGGGTTCTTAAACTGGACCAGAGGGCCGGAACAAAAGCATGGGTGGAGTGTTTGTGTGAACTAATATAAATTCAAAGTAAACATCATTACATAAAAGGGTACGGTCTTTTTTTCAATAGTTTTATTCATTTAAAACGGGCCGGATCCAGCCCGCGGGCCATAATTTGCCCACGGCTGGTCTAGAGTCATCCCACTGCCTGGGAAGGGGGGTTGTCATGTGTACTCCAGATGGTGTTGATGTTCCATCTAATGGACATATCTTGGCTGTCTCCTGCACAGGACCTCAGCCTGTAATGACTCCCCCAACACCGAGGAGACACCAGCCCCTCCTGTGGAGACCCCCGTTTTCACTCCACCTGTCCTGCTCAAGTTCCAGCCTGTGCCCAGACCTAGAGATGACTCAGAGACTGACCATGGCAGTGCGCAGTCTGTGCCCCACAAGCGGGGCCCATAACCTCTTCCCTGCAGACTGTGGCGGAGGAATGAATAAAGTTCTCATGGAGGTGCCTTTGCATGCTGGGCTTCTTAGGGGCTGTGCAATCTCCATGGGCTCCCTGCACCCTGAAGAGCTTGTCAGGGTAGTGCTGTCCTGAGGCCTTGAGGCCTGAGCTTACATACATTAGGTGGTCAGGTCAGTGCTACTGTGAACTCCCCTTGCTTGCCATCTAACATGGGAATTCAGCCACGTGCATCTTGAAAGAGAAATGAGTGAGGAGAGAGCGAGGGCTTTCCCTGTAGTGACTCTGTGGCCCCTCACTTGACCCCACTGACTTGCAAGTCTACCTTTTTTCTTCCTACACCTGGCCCCTGAACACAAGCCTCATCTGGGTACAAGTTTAGAAACAGTGATCTGTTCCCTCCCTAGAGTAAAATGAGCTGGTGTGTCAGTTTCCGACTTGGCACCTTCCTAGGGAATTTCAAAGATAGTGACTCTAATTGTTGCTTCACACCCTGACTTTAGAAACAAACCTGCATGTGAGATGTGAGCCTTCACAAAACAATGACTGATGGACATTAGCAGATAATCATTGAGCCTTTGTATATGTCCCACAACTTGCTTGGGACTGGAGATAATAAACCAAGCAGTTGGGGCCCCTTCCCTTAAGGAACTTACATCCATCCCACCCTCTGTGTGTGTGTGTGTGTGTGAGAGAGAGAGAGAGAGAAACCAGTATATAGATCAAATTAATACCGATTATAAGTTGTGATGAGCGCTATGGGAGCTGAGACGGAGATGTATGGGGTGTGTGGGTGGGCGAGGAAGGTCTCTTTGAGGAGGTGACACATGTTGAAACCTATAAATGAGAAGGGGCCAGCCATGAGGTGAGATGAGAAGGGCAGGACAACTGGGTTTGGGTGACTAGGGGGAGAGCGGAGTGGGAGAGGGTGGAGACAAGGTGAGGGAGGAGAATTCCGCACTTTCAGGAGACGTTACATTGGGAATCAGTGGGTACCCGAGTAGAGGTCAGGAGTCTGGGACACTGGCAGTTTAGTGTTGGGGTCAGGGGTTACCAGTGGACTTAAAACCAACCGCGAGACTGGGCAAGGGCACCAATACTTGAGTGTACATCTGGGGCTCTGGCCAAGGGAAGGGTGGGTCAGAAGATACTCAAGGGATCAGTGAGGGCTTTGGACCTTCTGGCTTGGGCCACTCAGGAGAAGGCCCTGGAGGCTGCGGAAACCCAATGGGTGGGGAGAATGGAAGGTGAGCGGGTACATAGTGATTGTGGATGTCGCTTTGGAGACATCTGTCATTGAGGGGAGCAAGAATGGAGCGGAGGCTGGTGGGACTTCAGGCTCCAGGCGGGCTACTTAAAAGACCTGAGGCCTGGCTGGGTGGTTCAGTGGTTGAGTGTCCACCTATGAACCAGATGGTCACAGTTCCATTCCCTGCAGGGGCACATGCCTGGATTGCTGGCTCGATCCCCAGTGGGCGGCGTGTGAGAGGCGGCCAATTGGTGGTTAGCTCTCACGGTTGATGTTTCTGTCTCTCCTCCCTTTCTGAAATCAATAAAAATACATTAAAAAAAAAAAAAGACCTGAGGGCCCAGATCAAACCAAGACGGGTTTGAGTGGGGAGGGCACTGAGTTGGGCTGGGAGGGAAGGCGAGGCGCTTGGCAGAAGACGGGCTTCGAGTCAGAGGCAGTTCAGCTCTGACCGAACAAGAGCCCAATTGGGAAACTCGGCTGTGACAGCGACTGGCGCGCTGGCCTCCAGGGACCACGATTCCCAGCATGCTCAGCGCCCATTTCCGGACGGGACCCGGAAGTACTTAAGGATCTCGGCTGGAACGCGGCGGACGCGGCTGGCTGGGTCGTATGTTGACGATTTTCCGCGTTCGCTGGTCCTGCTGCCGCCGCTGCCGCCGCCGTCGCCAACATGGGGAAGCGACAGCACCAGAAAGACAAGATGTAAGTTGAGCCGCAGCCAGGCGCTCCTGGCTCTGCCTGAGTCCCGCTCGGCCTCCGTCTCCGCCCGTTCTGCGCTCTCCGGTGTCTTCGGCTCCCGCTTTCAGAGTGAACCTCAGGACCCCCTCTGGTGTCGCTTCCTCCCGAAGCTTCCGTCCCCTCAGGTGGAGCAATACCTTCCCCTCCCCGCCAGCCGCCCAAATTTCCCGCTTGGAGGCGTCTGCTCTCCTTCTAGAATCTTATCTAGACCGTAAGTGCCCTCACCTGGGCGCGGCCTTCCCACCTGGGCGCTCCTTGGACACGGCCCCCCCGACTTCGCTTTTGCCCTGTCCACTCGCGGGCTCTGCTCCTGAGCCAGCCCCTCCCGGGGCGCTGGTCCCTGCGCAGCAGCTCACACACACGTGCAGAACCTTCCGGTGTCAAACACCCGCCTCTCCCACAGTCCGCTCCAGCTGCCACCTGCTTCCAGCGTGAAGGCTTGTCCACTGGCTCTTTTCTGCTGTCTCTAGAAACGACTTCGGTCAGGCTTTCGTGCCCAGCACTACTCTTTTGATTTTTTCTTTTAATTTTTTTATTGGTTAAGTTATTACATCTGTGTCCTTATCCCACATTATCCCCTATCCGCCCCCCCCATACCCTCACCCCCCTGTTGTCTGTGTCCATT